CATCTCAAACAGGATGAATCCAAAGCATGAGTCCAATATTACTAAACTGGTGCTCTGCTCCATTCTCTGCTTGCACTGCAGGGAGCTTCCAGGTTTCCTCCTATAATGTAGAACCACGCTGCACACTCCTGGGCTTGTTAACACCCTTATATCCCTTTCCAGCAGTCCCAGCACCACTTTCAAGTATCTACAATGCAAACGCTTCTGGGCATGAGGATTCCATCCTCAAAGAAACAAGTTTCAGGTTAGGCAGTTGGAACAACATATTTTCTGAAAGAGCAATGATGCATCAGCACAGGCTGCCCAGGGAGTGGTGGAATCACCACTGAGGGACATGACCAGTGGGTATGGTAGGGGTGGGTTGAAGCTGGATTTGGAGATCTTAGAAGCCTCTCCCAACCTTCACGATTCTATGACAACTCACACAGCTCTAAAGGAGCAGGGAAAGCAGCCAAGCCCACCCTCCCTACAACAAGCAAAACCAGAAATTCAGCACTTCGAATCCAACACCACCATCTCAGAAACAGCAAACTCACTCCTTCCAATGGGGTGGGATGGTCCTCCAGCCTCCCCATGCTCCAGCTGCGTCTGACAGCTGCATTCCTCTCTCCCTGCCCCAGCCCAGGTTTTGTTGTTGAGCTGTGCTGTGAACCAGCTGCTCTGTCTCAGCCACGTCAGGGACAGCCAGCATGTCTGGAAAGCACAGCACAGCAGTCTGGCTCCGGGTGGCTTCCCAGGAATTCATAGCACTCAGAGCTGCAGGGTGGGTGCGTGGCCCCACACCACCATCAAGTGACAGGTAGGGAAATTCTTGGCATGCAACAGCAACGTGAGTACCTCCTTCTCTGGAGATATTCGAGGCCCATCTGGATGCTTTCCTGTGCAACCTACAGTAGCAAGCTGCTTTAGCAGGGGGTTGGACTGGTGATTTCCAGAGGTCATTTCCAATGCCTACAATTCTGTGCCAGCAATCTGAGGCAGCACCCACAGGCTTCATTTCATTGGAGGTGGCATTCCAGCTGATGCTATGTACTTGCAGTGACCCTACTGAGAAGCTCATGCTAGCTCACACCCCCAAAAGCCATTCCAGCAGGATAGTCACCAGCACATGGACATCCATCCAGTTCACTATTCATGGGTTTTGGTTGTGAACTGAAGAGCACGTTCCACTTTATCAACTCATTAAGGTTGGAAAAGACTACTAAAATCACCAAGTTCAACTGCCCACCTACACCAATGCTGTCCACTAACCATGTCCCCCCAGTGCCACATCTCCATGGTTCTCCAACATCTCCAGGGACAGTGACCCCAGCACCTCCCTGGGCAACCTATGCCACTGCATCAACATTCTAAAGAAGTTTTCCATAACATCCAACCTCAACCTCCCCAGTGCAACTTAAAGCCATCACCTCTCATCCTGTTGCTGTTACCTGGGAGCAGAGGCCAACCCCCACCTCACTACCTTTCAGGGAGCTGCAGAGAGCAATGAGGACCCCCCTTAGCCTCCTCTTTTCCAGACCAACCAATCCCAGCTCCCTTAACCACTCTCCAGAAGACGCTCCCTGTCTCTAGCAGCACCCAGGCAGTTCTGCACCCACTTAAGCAACAACAGCAATGCACACTTCCTGCACCAAAAACCCCACCGTGCAGCACAGAACTCACTCTCAGTAGCAATGCATTGGTAAATTAGGGCAAGCTATGCTCCCCTCCCTCCCTCTCCCCCACACAAGCATTTCAGGGTTCCTGTTGCCTGCGTGCAGCGTACGGATCAGTTACATTATGAAGAACATTGCAATCTGTCAATATAAACACTATGTAAGCATGAGCCACTGGTAACATTACTACTGTCTTGACAAGCGTTTGCAGAGGGGGCAGAGCTGCCCAGCTCCTTCTGGGGCCAGAGGAAAGCAGAGCAAACCCCAAGCTGCAGAAAGCAACACTTCCAGCTAAAAAAGGGGAAAAAAAGTATAACGAAATGGAGCCAGGCTGTAAATCAGAACACCCAGAAAGAAACAGAAGGGATTTGATTTATGGCCCCAACAGGTTGCAAGCTCAGAGCCACGGAGCAGACAGCTCAGGAAGGCAGCGAGCTCCTTTCCAGCTCTCCATCCTGCACACACACTGGGATGAAGTCAATCAACCCTCCTGTCACCCCAGCACAGCTGATCTTGTCATCTGCCACCTCCAAAGCCCACCGCCCCCAGCCCATAAAGGGAGGGACCCACACCCAGCACGAGAGAAGTAGGAAGGGGAGGAAAGTGAAATGCAATGCTTTCCCAGGGATCCCAGCAGTCTGGGCTGCTCCAAGCAATCCCCCATCAGCCTGCTGTACTGTGGTGGAAATTAGCTTTAAGGCAGCCCAGCTGCAGAGGAGAAGGCTGAACATTGAAGCAGGCAGCGCACTGAAACGAGCAGATCTCAGGTGGGCTCCTCTCCAGGCATTGCTTTCCCTACAGGGTCAGCATAGGCAGAACATCCCACACATGCTCCTATCCTGAAATGCACCCCTACCATCTCACCCAAAGCCAGTCCCTTCCTGCTGCTTCCCTAAAGTTTGGGCAAACAGGTCCCTGCTGAACAGGTGCCTACAGGGACTTACTCTGTTCTTTGAGCATCAGCAGCACTATAGTTTTGCTGTACTCGAGGCTTCACTCATCCTCCAGCACATCCCAACCAGGCAGTCTCCAGCTACAGCACATCTGCCCCCCAGCATTGCAGACAGGCATAACTACACACCGACACAATCTCCTTATCATGTAGCCATGCCCAATTTCTGGGCATGTGCACTAATTCTCTAGCAGGCCACACATTTGCAGATACTGAATTCTTTCCCTGAAATAAGACATTGAGGATGGGGAAGGGAAGAGATCACCTACAGCTGTCCCTGTGCCCCATCAGACTGCAGAACCAAGCAGCCACAACGTGACATCTGCCCATTGCCAAGGATGCTGAAACCCAGAGCAGGGAGTCCAGCAGGTCACTAAAGCATCATGGTGGCTCTAATGACACTTTGGATGGAGCATCTCTTCCCATGCCTGGAAAGGGGGCTGGGATCATTAAACCCACTTCAGTATTCCAGTTCCCTGCACAAACAAAGGGGCATGCAAGTCTCATATCACTTCTTTCAGGAAAAAATATGGGAAGATTCACATTGGAATAAACCTGGAGCAGATCTTCCATGCACACGGCCACTTTTCTAAGCAGCAGCAGCACAGCCAGAAGTTTGAATGCCAATGACCACATGGCACCTGCAGAAGCATCAAACTCCACCAGGGGTATTCCCTTGCATCCTCAACAAGGAGGATCTCTGGGGTGGACAAAGATCAGCAGCAGATGCTGCTTAGAGGCACAGCAGAGAGCAGCACGCTTTGCATAAGCAAACCTCCCTGCACCACAGCAACCTCAGAGCCCATCTGGCCAAGCACACATCTGGCAGCATCTCCTCTCCCCTCCTTATTGCCAGCAAGGGAGTCTCAAACCAGAAACAGCAGCTGTCCTGAGGCCCGGGGAATTACCCAGCAGCACAGTCAGGGCATCAGACCCTGCAACACGCTGCACTCTCAAGTTCAAACCTACACTAGCCCCACGAGGCCAAGAAGCAAAATCCTAGAAGCCAAATGACTAGGAGAAGTTACCTGCTGCACTACAGCAGATACCAGCACTGCTTGGATTAATGGGAAAGTTACAGCCAAGCTCCTTACGAGCCCCATCAGTCCCTGAGGCACAGTACAACTGCGCTGTGCTGGTGGTCTCCGGCAGATACATGAGCTGTGGTGGGGGAAAGGGCTTTTCCCAAAAACCTGCACACACAGAACAGGCGGTTTCCTTGCAAATGCAGCCCCAGTGGCAGGAAGTTAAGCAGTTCTTGAGTTGGAAAGAGAAGATGTGAAGTAGCACTGTTTGGAAAAGTCTGCCAGACCACAAGCAATGGACAAGCTTCGACACCGGGATTTGTTTTACTGGAAAGAAGTGGGGGGAAAACCTCAAGACATTCCCTGGGGCCGGTCCAGTGGCTCCTACCAGCGGTCACAATGCAACATCCTAAAGAGAAGCAAGCAGCACCGTTTCCCCAAGGAAAACAGGGTTAACAAAAACCACTCACATCCCACACCCCAACCATCACAGAGTACCACCACCCATTTGGGTAGGAACTTTAAGACACACCCTACAGACACCCCAAAAAGCAAAGAGGCACAGGCAACACGCTAAAAGCCAGCAGACCCTCTGCTAGGAGAAGGATGGGGAGGAGGTCAACTTCTGCAAAGCAGTAAAACGAAAGGATTAAGGGATTTTTATGGGGTTTTACAGGGGTTTACGGACTCTCCCAGCGCAGCCCGGGGCGCGGATCCACCTGCGCAGCGCGCAGCGGGCGCGGAGTTATGGCGCCCCCTGCCGGCCGCCGGGCAGCGCACAGGTGAGCGCTGCGGGCAGCGGCGGCTCCGCGCCCAACGCGGGGAGATCCTCCGGCTTTTAGGGGAGCAAACATCGGGGACAGGATGGGAACGGCAGGCTGAAAATAGCAGCGTGCGTCCCCTGGTAAAATAAAAAAAATTAAAAAGTTACGAGCCCCATAGGAGCGATGGTGGGACCAACGGGTCTGCTAGCACCTGTGCTCAAAGCAAAAGGAAGGAGAAGTTTAAAGCAGGAGGAAAAACAGAAGTTTTTTCGGGGTTTTCTCCGTTCTAAGAGCACGGCAGCATTCAGGAAGAGCCGCCTGCCCCGCTGCAGAGCGAGTGCTGCCTCCATGCTGAACACGCAGGGGCCGGTGGGAACGAGGTGCGACCCGGGGACAGCGAAAGCAAATGGGGGCACAAGGAGGTAGGGCTCAGAGCTCCTATGGGGAACGCTGTCAGCGCGGGTGGAAGGGATGCGCGACACTTCCCGGCAGCAAGCAGCATCCTCGGGGCGAGCAAGGTGCAAAATAGCCTTTTGTAAAAATAATAATCATTAAAAAAAAAAAAAAAAGCGAGGGGTACAGACTTCGGCCGCCGGGCACCTACCCGAAGTAGGCGGCGGAGGGCCGCGGGGTGCAGGCTAGCAGCCCTAGAAGCGCGCAGGAGGAGAGCCATCCCAGCAGGACGTGTCCATCCAGCATCTTGCAGCGGCTCCGGCGCTGCTCATCTCGTTCCCCCGCCGCGCCCGCTGCAGCCCCGCCGCCCGCGCCGCCTCTTATAGCGCGGCCGGAGGAGCGCGGCCGGCCGGCGGCGGGGCGGGGAGGGGCGGGGCCAAGAGAGGGGGGCGGGGCCATGGGGACGGAGGGATCGGGCCAAGTGGAGTGGAGGCGTGGCTTGGAGACAGGGGGCGTGGCCTGGGGTGGAGGGGCGTGGCCTGGGGTGGAGGGGCGGTGAGGACACGCCCACTTTGCTTCTAGGGCCGGGAGGAGGGAGGGGAGGGGAAGGGTTGGGTGTCCCTGGGATGTGTGGGGTTT